TGTAACTTTGCCGGCTGTAACAGACATAGAAAATAAAGGGCCTTCCAGCTTCAGGAACCAAAGCCTATCATGAGCAATATCTCCTTTTACCTGAAGAATGTCTCCTCCCAGTGTCCCTCAAGTAGCTCCGTTCTATGTCACCAAAGCCTATCATGACCAATATCTCCTTTACCTGAAGAATGTCTCCTCCCAGTGCCCCTCAGTAGCTCCGTTCTATGTCACCAAAGCCTATCATGAGCAATATCTCCTTTACCTGAAGAATGTCTCCTCCCAGTGCCCCTCAGTAGCTCAGTTCTATGTCTGCGGACTTATACCGCTAGAAACCGAGTTTCGATACCCGTGGTGGGGAAAGCATAGATAGCCCTTTGCGCAGCTTTGTGCTTAATAATAAACAACAACTCTTCCCAGCATTCAATGATCAAAGTTATTTTCTAATCACATTAACTGCATTATTGCAATAGTTCTCTTAAAATCACCTTTCTTGTAAATATTCGATCATCGTTTAAAAACTTCTCTTCATAACAAACGGCGAATTCGGTTCTAAATAAATCCTTGGTATAAAAACTCCCTCCTCGACAGGCTTTTATATAGCAGGAAAAGTGTCGAAACTTAAGAGCTATTTACACCTACGCTAGCGATTGAATTCAACTAAATGAGAACGGTCAATGAAAAGAGAAAGTATTATAGGAGAAAAAGTGACTTAGACTTGTGTAACTCACGAAATTCGGATAAATCGAGCGTGACCGACCGACATCTGGCTTTTATGATCATGATAAAGGTAATTGAGTGATATTGGGGATAGCGTAACTCACAAAATTCGGATAAATCGAGCGTGACCGACCGACATCTGACTTTTATGATCATGATAAAGGTAATTGAGTGATATTGGGGATAGCGTAACTCACAAAATTCGGATAAATCGAGCGTGACCGACCGACATCTGACTTTCATGATCATGATTAAAGTAATTGAGTGATATTGAGGATAGCGTATGCGTCTTTCTTTTACATTAAAAAATATAATGATGGTCTTGAAGCTAACGAAATATGTTTTACAGAAGATAAATACGATTCATAAGAAATATTTGCATATGTCAATACAATGGCATGATACCATGGACGAAATGTTTAGCACCTACATATTTCGATTCCCAACCATTTAACAATGCACTGCCACCATGATCAGATTTATGACCGTAGTTGTGTTTTATTTATTTAGTTACCTCGGAAAGTTGGACATTTTAGTCTTTTAAAGCATTATATTTGGTAAAAGGTTGTTTTGATACGTAAAATTTTTATTTGAAAAATGCAGCTTGTGTAGAAAGGAAGGTCCAAAGAACTGAAGTTGCTTATTGGCCCGCTTTGATCTTAATCCTCGCTGACAAAAAAAAAGAGCGTTTAGAACAACAGCGGGTTCCGAAACTACACCATACCTAATCTAGAGAAATGCCCCGAAGGCTACAGTTACAAAATGAAATCCTTCGACGCAAAAAGCCATTATGATGAAGCTGGACACATCTTCTGGTATCACTAGCTAGTTAAGTAAAGTGTCTAATGGTAACCAATACAGCCACAAGTGAAGAATAAAAACATATTTTAATTAAAGTTTTTAATACCCGTACCAACCTTCTCTGCTATAGATTTTTACTTCAAGTGAATTTCTCGTCATCATTAAAAACATATTTAATGAGCGTTTCGAAATTCACACATTCTATCTTTAACGAATTCCTACACTAAGTACAAAACTATAATAACAAATAATAACCTGAATGTCGAATAGAAAATTCTGTTCTCGGATAAACATTTTGAACCAAAAGATAGAAACTCAAGAGAATCGTACAAACCAGTAAATTAACTTGGATATTGACCCATACGTATATATCATCTATATATATAATGAGAAACGATTAAAACAAGTTTAACTCGACAGAAGTTGAACTATTGTTTAAGTTAGGAAGATTGCGTTTAATAAGTACTCTTTATTTAACCACAAGTTTTTACAAATCTAAAAAGTCAAACACTAGCGTCAAAACTACTTTTGAATCGGTATATTGTAAAGTTTTCCTACTACACCTATACTTTCTTCTGTCCGCACACATTTCTCCTAACTAGCTAGACTTCATTCTCTTTTGTTAACCTCACTTCGCGCCTGGGAAGATCTTATTTTTTTTGGCCAGCTTTGACATTACTTCCCTTTTTTACCAACGTTCCCTTTAATTAATCTATCAATATTTGCCTCTCTAATCTTTTCAAAAATCACTTGCAGCAACTGAGTGGTTTCGATATTCCCAAACAATGTAAACAACTCCTTGATCTCTGAAACACCAACACTCACTTTATATTCGATGATCGTCTTTGTTACCTAGTAAGTTTACGTACTTACAACGCTAAAGTCCGGGATTCGATTCCTCACGGTGGATACAGCAGATAGCCCAATGTGGCTTTACCCTCAAACAAATAAATGATCGTCATTTTTATAGGGTAGATGGCGCTGCTAATGAATCGACCTACAGCCCGACCTCAGCTAATGCTTTTCTCCGTAACTACGAGCAATTATGACTTGACAACTTTTCGGATATATTTAGACTGATCCACTATAGAAGGTATGTCAATGAAACTTTTGTATTTCGTTCTAAGAACATACACCTACATTTCTAGAATATTTAAACTCTTATCACTCCAACATCAATTCTTCTTGTGAGACTTAAAACAACCGTAGTCTGTTTTCTGAGGTATCCTCATCCGTCGTGATTATCTCATTTTTTTCTACAATCACATACATACCGCAAAAACAACAAAAAATAAACCTTCGCTGACCTCTATATGCTCTTCAACAGCTTCCTTACTCTAACTACAAACATAACCTGATTACTTGTTTACTTACTAAAGCTTACCACATTTGGTTTTACTTCTCTCCACACAATGAAATTTCTATAACTTTCTCTAAAGGTATCCTGGGCCTCTTCTTGAAACTGGCACTCGTGATTTTTGGAATACTCCATTCCCTTAGAAATACTAAACATATTTCTGTATTTAAATGTCCCGTAAATTCATGACTCAATTCATAAAAATCAACTCATAAATATAAATACTACACGAAAATTCTACTGAGAATAATAAAGCATTTGTCGATAAACGTCTTTGACTCTGTGTGTGGAGGGAGAAAGAGAGACCGGTTCTGTAGAAAATTCCCACTTATTCATGGCATTTGGTTTTGACAAACTAGGTAAATTTGCAGCTACCAAACCGGTCTCTCTTTCTCCCTCCACACACAGAGTCAAAGTACTGGACGCAGAATCTCATCACCGGGCTTTGGAGTTTTGGTTACAGCCCGCAAAGATTTGGAACTTCTCATTAAATAGTCTTATTATTGAAAAAAACTCTCCCTAGCTTAAATAATAACTGAATAGTTAAACTTGTTTTGTTTCTCTTATATTACATTTACTTACTTTGATCTCTATACGAGTTAATTTATTTGAATCTCAATATTACCCATACGAACGTTTATATAGTAAAACAAAATATTTGTTATCAACATTCAGGTATTTGTAATTATAGTTTTGTACTTGGTGTAAAAATTTGCCGGATGTGTTTATTTCGAAGCGTTCATTAAACGTGTCGTTACTTCTTTGGTTGTATTGTCCTTCATTATACTGTTTTCTGCTCATGAATCTGTTAACTAAGAAGGACTGGAAGTTGACAAAGACTCACTAACTTTCCGCTACACTTCGAAATCAACAGCTACTTTCACGAAAATAATGATAATCTACAAAACTAGAATGATAAGAATCCTTTTCAATAACATACCTATTAAGCCCTCTGATGCACCCTTCTAATGACTTTTGTCTGCTCAATTGTAGTCTTCAAAGCAAACGTCCACGGACAATAAACACTTGTTGCAATGAAACATATGGCGCTGGGCAACAGTACATAAGTATTGCCATCAGAATGGACATGATTAACTACGGGGAAAAAAGTTCCAAAGGCAGCACGGAACTAAACATTGTTTTTGTTTGTTTGTAATCAAGCACAAAGCTACACAATGGGCTATCTGTGCTCTGCCCACCATCAAAACCCAGATTCTAGCGTTGGAAGTCCGCAGACATACCGCTGTGCCACTGGGGGGCAACATTGTTTTTTTATTAAAATAAGTACAACTAATTCTCAGTAACGACTTAAAATATTGATAGTTTAAGAAATCTTTAAAGTACACTATTAACCCATTAAACTATTGATAAGTCAAAACGTGTTCTTACTTTAGTGAATATCTATTAAGAAAACAATTAAAATAACCAGAAATAATATTAAAAGTCGGTATTTGAAGTTGAATTACTGTTACTGTTAATTAAAGTTTATTATACTCAGTGTGCTAAATGAAGCACAAAACGATTTGTCATAAACCATCTCACCAAACCATTAAAGAATTGATGAATACGTTTTGCGGTTTAATATAATAACAAGAGCTATCAGGATTGTTTTGTTCTCTCTCTTTCCGACGAACCCTAATTAAGGCGCTCAATGTTTAAAATGATCTTATGACGGACATATATTAGAGACATCGAACATCATGGGAATAGGTAAGTAATTAATAATTCAAAATATTTTTAACGAACAGGTGGCACCTCACCAAAAATATTCAAATTCGCGAATTTCTAAGCTATGTAAATAAACATGGGTAGATCAAAACCATTCAGCTTAATTTAAAAATTAATAACAACCAGTCAAAAACAATTAAACTCAACAGTATGAACAATATATTTCGTAACTGAAATAATTAAAACTATTCAACGAATTGTGATTAAAGTTACTTGATATAATTGATAAATATATATATATGTGTGTGTCAAATATACGCCATATAGGATAATGTCAAGATTAATACACGTTTGAATAATTTGTTGTATTGAAATAAACCAGAGTTTAAGGCATCAAACCGTGAAGTAGTTTTATACAAGTAAACTCTTTGAGGGGGGGGGGGGCAATTAAAAAAAGATTTATCTCCAGAGAAAATAATATGTATTTTATTTCATGTTAAAAGGTAAAAGTGTTAAAAAAAATCGTGACAATTAATAATAAAAAAGTTAAAAGCAATGAGACAAAAAACACAGCAGTTATTTGTTGAGATGCGACTAGACTGTGTTGTTCTGCGTTATTTGTTGAGATGCGACTAGACTGTGATATTTAGCGTTATTTGTTGAGATGTGACTAGACTGTGTTGTTCTACGTTATTTGTTGAGATACGACTAGACTGTGTTGTTCTACGTTATTTGTTGAGATGCGACTAGAATGTGTTGTTCTACGTTATTTGTTGAGATGCGACTAGAATGTGTTGTTCTGCGTTATTTGTTGAGATGCGACTAGACTGTGTTGTTCTGCGTTATTTGTTGAGATGCGACTAGACTGTGTTGTTCTGCGTTATTTGTTGAGATGTTCAGATCCAAGTGAAAATTGTATTATTTTCCTTAATGTACAGAAGATGTTGGGTCACTATGAAAGAAAACAAGAGGCACTTGAAATTCTTTTAGGCAGGATTAGAGTAAATTAATCTATGAAACCTATGAGACGTCAATCGAAAGGGTTTGACCTCCTGAGTCCAAAACTGTAATTAGATCTCAAATCCGTGAAAAGATGACGGATGTATGAGCTAAAAGTTTGTACTTGAAAAACAAAACAAAGCACACAAAAAAATCAGATTATTTCTATGAGCCGCAATGCCGCGGCTAAAAATATACCTTTGAAGATATGTGAGACTCTGGGTAATCCTTCTTTCAAACTAAACACTTCATGCCACAACACAAGTTTGTTGTTCAGACCAAGATAGCTTGGATTCACCGGATTCGATCACGAGATGGACCCATAACCACTAGTCTACCGATCATTCCAAATGTGGAGTATATTTTATTAACTATAGTACATCCCTCCCTCCTGGTTTGAATATTAGTAAGTTCGGTAGGATTATTCTTGCTACTGTTTAGTAGTTATCATAATGAATTGTTAACTAATTATTCCGATATTTAGGTCTATATGTTTAAGGAATCCTTTCTCCATCACTGTTGTAGAGAGCGCATATCGCCGCAGGAGCAATCCCAGTAACGAGAGAACGACTGGAAGTGGTTGATTTTACAGTGCCTATCTATGACATGGTTGGTTATCAAATACTGATGAAACTACCGAAAGTTCCAAATTCTATGTTTAAATTTTTGTCTGTTCTTGACGTACAAGTATGGATTCTTATTATCTGCTGTTACGTATTTTCTTGGTGAGTTAGATCATTTAAGTATTATTATGTTATTTATAGTCTGCTAAGGTTCTTTCTCATATTACAATTTCAACTTGGAATTGTGTAAAATTATAGAGATCATTCGTGTAATGTTTTGATTTTTTTCTGCCTCAACTATTTTTTGTAAGATCGTAATTCGTAATCTTTAACTTTAACTTGACGTCATTTTAATATGTGTTCTGAATGTAATAATTAATAATATTAATTAATTTTCATTTCAATGTAGCATCTTTTAGTACATTTTTCAAATGGTTTCCGTGTGGCATCCATTTAGCAAGAACAAGTAGTCATCGAATGTAACAAATACAAATCTGAATATTAGATGTTCACTGAGGCTTTTTATGAATAAAAACCAGATAACTAGAGTTTGATAGTAATGAAAAAATTGGGAATTACCCGTACTCACTCATCAGAAGTTGAATTGTTTATTTGCCTCTTTAACATTAGATAATATTTTAATGTTATACTGATGTGTTCTAAACTATGACAAAATACTACAAAACAAATAATTTAAAATCGCTGTTCATGATGCAAATATGAAAAAGATCGTATAGCAGATATTAATACCCCTGGTCTTCTGGTTTTGTGTTTCATAAGTTATTCAATCTTTATTTTTTATTTAGTAATTATAAAATTTTTTGAGTTTTTTCGAACCTTAATGAATGTGCTATTTATACTTTATTAAATACATCTTGTAGAAATAAATCTTGTGTATATAAAAATTATAAGGCTATAGATGCTTATGTAATACAAAGAATATGGAAGAAACTGTATATGTATGCGTTTTCATTACATAGAAACACGTATATTTTTAAACCTTAAACTCTGCAGTATTAATAATAAATTACAAATGCTGTTAAATAGTTCTAAACCCTTAAAAACACCTTTGTTTCAGTCTACTCCTATTTGTGTACCACCTGATCAGTCCCTTTAGCTATCGGAATAACAAGCAAAAGTATGGAGCAGACAGAGAGAGGAGAGATTTCAACATCAAGGAGTGCATGTGGTTTTGTATGACCTCACTCACTCCCCAAGGTAAATTGTGTGGGCGTCTTCGCGCGCTTCATTGTCTTTTCCATTTCAGTTTACGTGTGAATTAATCACCAGTGCTCATTGAATTCTCTCTCACTTGAAAGTTTATAATCTATAGATATTAACAACAGTACGCCTACAAACATGTATATTGTTACGACAGTGGAGGTCACGTGACGCTTGTAACACGTGATAAGTGTCTAGAAGGTTCGTGAAGAGGCGAGTGCATTCTAGACGCTCTCTATTCTTGTATATAAGCGCGGCAAATAAAGCGAGATAGTTAGTTGGATAGCAGACAGAGAGATAGGGAGACAGATAGTCGAGTCAAGCCGTAAGTAAAGTATGTAAATCGTTGTGAATTATAGCGTGTGTTTAAGTTAAAGTGACTGTGGAAATTAAGTGTATTACAAAGTTGTATTGAGGAATAATAAACTAGTTTTATTTAAGAAAGGACTTGTACCGCTGAAGTTCCTCGGGAAGAATTTTTACGGGAAGTTATCAAACAAGCAGATACGTAACAAATGGGTGTCAGAGAGTGGAAAAAAAGAAGATGGAAACGAGAAGCGACAAATCAAACTACAGGTTAGCAGATTTGATGGCAGCAATACAAGAAGAGAGATTACAGCAGTTGTTGGAGGAAAGAGAAAAGAAACAAGAAGAGAGACAACAGCAGTGGCAAGAAAACCTGCAACAGTGGCAGCTCGAACAGCAAAATAAACAAGAGAGACTACAGCAGTGGTTGGAGGAGAAAGAAAATAAAGAAGAAGAGAGATTACACCAGTGGCAACTGGAACAAGAAAGGAAACAGGAAGAAAGTCTCCAACAGTTGCAGGGAAGTCAGCAGCAACTACAGGAAAGTCAACAACAGTGGCAAGAAGTACAAATGGAAAAATTAGCAAATTTCAAAGTGAATTAAATACATTAAAGGATGGTTTACTATCTTTTACACAAGGAGGATATATTAGCCATCGATCTAATCAGCCCCAGACAACGGGAAGCAGCTAAACCCTAATGCAGACATCTTCAGTCCTGTCAGAAGTCACATTCCAGACATGAGTGTCAGCAATAGGGGTGATCTAGTACGAAGGAAGCCACAGGAATTCGATAGGAAGGCACCATGGGAAGCATATAGAGCACAATTTGAGCTTCTGGCAGAAATGAATAGATGGACAGAGGAGCAGAAGGCAGTGTACCTGGCAACGAGCTTGAAGGGACAACCACTGGAAATACTTGGACAATTGTCAACAGACGACAGGCACAACTATAGAGCACTGGTAGCTGCTGTAGAACTTAGGTATGGAACCCAAAATCAGTCCGAAGTTTACAGAGCTAGAATTAGGACTAGAGTCCGTGCTAAAGGGGAGAGCCTGCAAGAGCTGGCACAGGATTTGAAAAGTATGGCACACAAGACCTACCCAACTGCACCACCCGATGTCCTCAACCTGTTGCTGAGGGATTAGTTGTAGATGCCTTGAACAGTTCACAACTTAAGATACAAGTGAAGC